GTGTAAGGGATATATCGCTGGGCCTTCCCTCGTTTTTCACACAGTGAGAATTCGCGGATGGCGCATCTTGTAATGGATATACATTGGTTTTCAGGTTTTGTCCAAGGAAACATGAAACAAAAGCAAATTTGAGTCACTATTGGAGCGGATAAATTGTCCTGAGTTCTAAGAATTTCAACCTATAGGGAGTACGTTGACGGACAATGTCACCGCACACACAACTTCACTTTGTAGTTTACTCAGCAAGAGTACACTGGTAAGCAAGTACACGAACCGATTTCATGGGATATGGAACGTTTAAATTGTACGTTCCCTTTTGTTATATCTTAATGGGATTGTAACGATTTCAAAACACCCACGTCATGGAACCAGATTGTACATGGAACATCGTTTGTGATAATTTAACAAGCATAAATACTGTTGAATTTCTACTGTGTGAACGTGTGCAGCACCGGAAAAACTGAGAACAACCAGATTCAGTATCTCTGATTAGAAGCATAGCAAGATTGGGTTTCTAGCTACTCGGCTGATTTTGTACCATTGCTACAAAACTCCATCAATATTGTTTTATTTTCCTGGATCATTTTGCTAACCATTGCTCAGTGAGTCAGTTTTGTGTCTAGCTGAAAGTGAAATAACCTGGCTGGCTTGAACACCTAACGGACTGGAATGGGGAATGCCTTTATTACCATTTTCTAGTCTTAAAAGATAGCAGGAAGTTTTTGGAACAGCTTCATAAGGATCACAATCAGAAATAAAATGACCAAGACAGTGTGACTGAAAGGATCACAGGGAACTCGTTAAATTGGAACAACCATATAGAAACATATGAACGCCAATCTCACTCGAAACTAAACGCGTGCTTTCACAGCCCACAGATTTTGTTTTGGTAGGTTTCTTATAATTTTTTATACCTCATGACGCTATATGTAGAGGATGGAACGAATAAAGTTGTCGAATCCAAAAGTGATCATTAGTCCATTCGATCGCACGTTATTTGTGACGAGATCATTAATTTGGTAGTCACACACACCCTGGGCACGTTCGCAGTGAATTTAGCTCCATTTTTATTTTCTAAAGCGAGCAGATTTGAAGTGGAAAATTACATTCTCACACCAGCCAAATTTTGACACTATCAGTTGACAAAATTATACACGGGTGTGGAGCACAATATCCGGATTATCGAATATTATGCTTGAATAAATTTTGATGATTCTGGCCGCCATATTTTTTCCACTAAATTGCGGGCACTGAGTGTTGGAGTGGTGTACTGCTGGTGGTAGCTTCGGGCGCTGTCGCGAAAACACACTGGTTGTAGGCACATGACAAAAGGATGATAGCCCCGTTTGTATCGCATGTTTTACTGTAAGCATACGCACAAAAAGTCGGCGCGCACGGTGACTGTTATTCAGTTACATCTTACACACAACACAGCCAACGTCTATAAAATTGGCCTTCCAGCGTCTGCCCCAGGATATGAGCGACAGAGATAAACAAGGGATATTCCGTCTTTAACAAAACGCCTAGAATTTTCTGTGCCCTCAACACATGGTTGAATAGGATGTGAGACCACCAAGAAAGTGCACAAGTGTTCTCACACCGTGATTTGACTGATTATGTGAACTGTGTGAATAATTATTTACCTTCAAAACTGGGCTTATGATTAAGTGATATGGGTTGGACAAACGGATGCCACAATATAGATATGTTGCAGTGAGATCAGTGTTTCGTGTTATCCAAGTAACACATGATAGAATTAGTCCAGCTTGGAAGAAATTCCCAGAATTCCCAGAAGGTCTTGCGTCCACTCATTCCACATTTTTTCACAACTTTATATACATGCCCGATTGTGGACGATTACATTCATTCTCCTGAATTTTCACTTCTGTGGGTTAGAAAACATAGGCAGGGAACCAAATAGGCCATTTAGATCCACACTATTCACTGAATCAAGACGCATTTACCCCAATTAATCCACCCAGTAGATAACGTAAACCTCTCCAGTCAAGAGGGATCACTCAAGATTCGAACGCAACCAAAGTCAGCAAACATCCAACAATCTGACCAAAAGTGTCCAGAAAAGGTTTGCATGCATAAAACTAAGTTATTTAGGATCAGTTCGCAGAGGCTGCTTGAAGTTGGACTGATCCGATTAGAGAATTCTGACAAGAATGCAATTATTGAATTGGTTGAGTTAAACTAATTGTTGACCTATCGAACAGTTCACCTAAAATAATTATTGCACTGTGCACTGACGGGCTATGTGAGCGGAATATTATCATGATCATCATTCACAGCGGCACAAGAGTAGAACCTAGCAGCTTCACTGCCTTACAGTCACGTCGGTCTATTTGAATAAAGATTTAAACTGGAGAAAAAAAATGGGGAAGGGAGAAATGCCTAGAGTTAGCCTGCGACAAATACCTGAGGTACCTACACCTCCAGCACTGGGCCAGACAGTCCGAACGTCACATACATCGATCTCCAGCCAAACGGGGTCAGGTGAGCCCCCTCCTGGAGGGTGAACAACACCACCAATAAGCAAACTTCGTTATATCCTTCATTCCCTTCTGTCATGTCAAATTCTGTCCACCTCTGCGTTCCCGCCATTTTAAATTAGATATGGAAACAACACTGGTCTTGGCAGGCGGAATCTAGCACGCGTAACGCATAGTTCAGCTTACAGCACCGGATTCATTCACTGAGTGAAGCACCGTCTGCTTCACAAAAGACTCGATGACCCACTCCGAGTTTACTGGTTCCAGCCGATTCCAGATATACTCCTGGGACATCGTGGTTATAGACATGAAGATGTTTCAGACCCAAAGTAGCTAAGTCTCGCACCTATAAGACTGTACGGCTATGTGGTTGGACCCAGTGTATTGCCACNACTGCGTTATTCCTTCATTCCCTTCTGTCATGTAAAATTCTGTCCACCTCTGCGTTCCCGCCATTTTAAATTAGATATGGAAACAACACTGGTCTTGGCAGGCGGAATCTAGCACGCGTAACGCATAGTTCAGCTTACAGCACCGGATTCATTCACTGAGTGAAGCACCGTCTGCTTCACAAAAGACTCGATGACCCACTCCGAGTTTACTGGTTCCAGCCGATTCCAGATATACTCCTGGGACATCGTGGTTATAGACATGAAGATGTTTCAGACCCAAAGTAGCTAAGTCTCGCACCTATAAGACTGTACGGCTATGTGGTTGGACCCAGTGTATTGCCACAATTGGTGCAGGTTGGAAGACGCAATTCTGAATTTCCAGATTCCTGTGTCCCGTTCGTTCGTCCCATTACTGTCAAAGCAACACAACTTCGGAGATATTCATTTTGCGCTCCACAAACTCCAGTGTCATGCCTTGAACTCTTACGGAATTCATCAAGGATTGCGCGCCCCGCAACATGGCTTTGCACTTTGTGAGCGCGAGTGGAATGTAGTTATCCTTACAGGTGCCATACAGGTGCCTATATTAGTTATGGGGAAAGCTGTGAGTCACGCAGATACACTGTGACTGAATTCATCAGAAAGGATAACTTCGTCAAAAGAATAAGTAGCACAGCCAAAGCAGGCCATCGGACCATCATGTTCGTAGTGATGATCGTGGAGGCCTCCACAAGTACATGCAGTTTTATGTTGATACTGATACGTCTCCCTTCGTTTTACAAACGACGCATCTAGACGAGTGTTGTAACTCAATGCTCTAAGGTTATCCGGAGCACGTATAGGTAGCGCTGGTACTGTTAGGACGCTCCCAGACATGGGAAAAGTACATGTACAGAGAGTGACGCATCCTCAAGGTCACCATCGGTACGACACGTTTGGAAAGCAGGTGTGTTGGCGGAGCCCATTACGGCCGTGACCCCAGTTCCCTGTCTTCTCCCTATCGCGTAGTCTGGCAGGCTCTGTGTAGGCGTAACCAATGGACGGCCACCCACGATACAACAGGTACAGAGTCACAGGCTGTATTTTTCTGAAAGCCCAGTACACATACAACCTGAGAAAAGGCATGCTTAGACACACATCGGAACCAACGACCCACAACTTACCGGGAATCAGATACTTGGTTCACTGTGAACGGGCATGAATAATGGTGCACCATTTACATTCGAGTAGGTACGGGTGTGGCGAAACACGTGTGCAATCGAAAGGCTTAGATGTAACTGAGACTGACCGCCCTCGGCAACTCACCTGGCAAATTGGTCTCCAACAGACAAAAGATTGATTGGTCAGTTCCACCCGGGGTGTATATCTTCGGTCACTGTGCCTACTTTTGCAACAACATTACCAATTTTCATCCGTGTTTGGAAAAAATAAACGGTTCACATGATTTTTTGTAAGACTGAATTTAGAACTGGCTTTCGCATCTTCCGATGGGATTAACCACGCAGTGAGTGGACAGAACCAGCTGCATAGCGTCTGCGTCATCAAACGTTTTCCAGGGTATTTTGCCCTAATTTATTGAGACAATTCCACCTACAACGTCGAGAGCTTAATATAAGTTCCGTCGTTCTTGTAGCCTATCAGGTAAGAGTTTCCATCAATATTAGTCCTCCTTGGGTATCAAACAGTACATGAGTAAATGAGTTTGCAACTCATCCCGGTTTTCGGAAGGTCTTAATGCCCACCTGATGACCACAAGAACGGTGAAAAAGGCAGTACGCTGGCAAGGAGTTCTAATCAACCTCATAAGTAGTGCTGTGTGGAAAAAAATACCACGATATCTTTATTATCGTCCACATTTAAATATGAGGGAGATATATTCACTTGAGGGTTACCAAAGATAAGGGTCTCATTTGATGTGGGTTTCCATTAATTCTGCTTCTCAATCATAGATACCAAATACCTGCATCCAGTCAAAAAACTTGTGGCAGTTGGAATGCCATAAAAGTTGTTAAAAGAAGGAAGCAGAATTAAAACGCATTTTATCAACCAACCAACAGCGCTATTTCATACTTCCGACTTTAAATGGATTTTCGATTGCTGTTGTTTTCAGTGCGGACGAGAGACTGAAGGAAATGCGTGATGCAATGGTGGTTGTGCAGTACGACGGGAGTATCAAGTGGATGCCGCCAGCAATTTTCAAATCCAACTGTAAAATCGATATCAAGAGTTTTCCGTTCGACGAGCAAACGTGTCACATGAAATTCGGCTCCTGGACATATGATGGCAACCGGCTCGATGTTTCATTTATTTCAGACGAAAAGCACATACTACTCAACGATTACACCGAGAGTAACGAGTGGGAGATTATCGCTAGACCGGCGATGCGTAATGTCAAATACTACCCATGTTGTGTGGAACCATATCCAGATCTAACCTACTTTTTATTGTGAGTTGCACCAAATTAATTCGGAAACTTAACCAATTTGTATTTTTGCATCTAACTGATACAGGTATGGGGAAATCCAGTTAGGATTCAAACTTTCATTCTGGGTTCCAAAGCAAGAAAACTGATCCTAGGACCCCAAACCATTTTTTTCAATTGTGTAGCACTTTCTAAACATATCCATATCTTGTCATATGCCCAATGGTGTGCCCGCCTTACTCAGCCGTTTTAGTGTTGGTTTCTAACTCAGTAAGTTAGAAAGCCCGTGTGCTGCGAATTAGATCACATTTTAGTTCTGCTCCAAAAGCCCTTCACAATTTGTTAGAGCTCACTGGTGGGTAAATCACTGAAACGTCAGCGAACTAGCCCTCTGGCTGTTACTGTCATCATCAGTTCAATGTACTGTGGTTCCCTGATTTTTATAATCTGTGTCTGGAACAACATATTTCATTCCGTAGTTATTGTTGTTCATTTAGTTCACCTAATAGACGTGAGTCTGGAACAACGGTTTGGTTTATAAATCTACGTCTTCTTAGATTATTCCCTAGACCCTTAGCGGCCGATAGGTTTGGCTAAAGACAGTTAATCAAGGTTTCTCTGAGGTATTCCACTCTGCATCACCATGTGCATCGCTCTAAGACCTGGAACAATGACCGATTTTTTTTCTGTGTATCTCATCTCAGACATATGCCTGGGGCTCGGCGAACTGGCCTTGTCTTCCAACAGAGGTGAATTGTGGTTAGCTGTCAGCGTACAGTGACTTTTTGATAATTTCTCTTGTTCTCGAAACAGCTTTTCAGTCACTATTAAGAGTGTATTTTCAACAGCGGCTATATGTAAATGAAACCGGCTAGGACACTTTGCATAGAGGCACGGGCGCGGTGTTGGCGTACAACTCATCACTTGTTGTGCTGCAATAAATGTCTGTTTTTCCAAAAGGCCTAAAGCCAATGTAAGAGAGTCACCGTACGTTCACATTTTGGCATCGTGATTTGAAACTCTTGCTCTTTCGCTCTCGGTTTTTCGGTAACGTTTGGTCGCATCACACGTTCGGGCAATTCTGTCGTAACTCCTAAACAACTGTTAGAAACAAGGCTCGGAAGTGCTGTTGCTACCCAATGTACTACCCAGTGTTAGTGTACTGCAGACCAAAAGTGACGAATAACCGTATTTCAAGGGGCAAATCAACCATTAATAGACGTGTATTAGGACCGAGGTATTAGGTCACTGAGGTATTACAACAACCACTGGTTTTCACCAGGCTTTATTCAGTCTCCCCATGAACTCTGAGGACCTCAGTTAGTGTTGTCCAATTGGCATACACCTGTAGTTCTCTTTCTGGATGATGTTGACTTAAGATCACCCTTTGCAAGATGAGATGAATAACGTATAGCATGAAGTAGGACAAACAGCGTACACAGTCTATCCTGGTACTGAGACATGTGGAGCGTGGAATATTTGCTGTTCGAAAGTTGTGGATTAATGGCAGAATAGTGCTTGATAACTGGTCGGTGCACTTAAACTACTCATATGTACAAGCTCAACATTTCGCCCTTTTTCCTCAACAGCCTGCGAAGGAATGCGGCCTTTTTCTCCTATATCTTGGTTCTTCCTTGCGTCCTGCTGTCCTCATTGACCTTGGTCATCTTCTGGCTCCCACCTGAGTCTCCAGCCAAAATGGTCTTGGGTAAGTCCTGCCAACAATATTTTCTGCGGATTAAAATTGATTTCTTCCTTCATGTAGGACAGATCAAGTTTTACGCCGGTGAAAACGAGGTTGTAATCCATTACAAAGAAATGAATGGTGATATGGTTTAAGAAAGCATCGTGTGCATTCCATTAATAACAAATATGTAGTAAACAAAAATAGGATTTGGCCTTACTTCAGTGGAACTTACAATCATATTTGTCTCCCTTCACCGACACCAATGTAGATCTAAGCACCCGGCCTTGGTCAGTGTTGCAGCGACGTACTATATGGGTAAAACCAGCGCACGACCTACCGTTATTTGGGATGATTTCTGCAGCTACCAGGAGCACAAACGTCTTTGTGGGGTCGCCAGATGTTTTACTTGTACTTCTGAAATCACCGTGAATGAAGAAGCATGAAGGTCTATGCGGATACAATTGAGGACTTCATGGGATGTGGTAAAGTATGCAAAACCAAACAGCTCATCAATGCTTGTGACAACCACTAACAACTGTCATCCTTTGCACTAAACCAGTTCCCAGAGAGTGCGTTCGAAAAAGCTGATAAGATGCTAAGAAGGCCGCTGAGTTCGGAAGCAATCAACAATGTACAACTAAAGAGCGACAAATTGACTCATCAGAGAGTTAGTTTTATGCGTAGGTAGGAAGCCTCCAGCAGATGGACTGTGGAAAAAAAAACGAAAAAAAGACAGTTCTTAATGCAAACTTTTCCCCTGATTTCAGTGTGTGCTTGATCACAATCAGTATCATTAAAGGTGTAACTTTGCGCCCTTGGATAACGCCTTGACACATAATCAAAGCCAGTCAGTTCACAGAAGCACAGCGATCGTATCCGCTCAAAGTCTCATTATCCTGTGGGCAACGGAATTCGTAACGTGGTAAAAATGGTGGAATAAGATGGGTTTCTGAGCTCTCCAACATATATTGAGAACGGGTCCTTTTGTCACCAAAACTTTGAGATTCTCATCAAAATTTCCTTCATCTGTGGCAGATAAATCCAGGTTATAGGCCTTGGGACCAGCAAATAAAACGCTCAAACTAAACGGAAAAATTGTTCACATCAAAGTTACGTGAGTGAGACTATCCAGAGCAACCGCTGTCTATCACATTTGGATAACCATTGTTTTGTATTCTCTGGGAGACACTAAAAATCACCATTTGTTTCCTTTTCATTCGCTCTTCACAACCATTTTGTCTATGGATGCTGGTTCTCGTTGTCACAACTGTCACAACTGTGTTCAGACCACCACAGTTGCATCTCTTCTTCTATCAACTGTCAATTTGTGAATTCATCTGAAATGATAGACAAGGACAGCGAATTAATTCGTCGAGTTAAGCTGTGAGAAATGTGCTCACGCGTTCACCGAAAAGAGGGACGTCGAGTAGAACAGTTGTACCTTGATTGACTTTTCCCATTAGCAACAGTCTTTCCGTACACGGTCAGAGGATGAACGAGACAGGATAATACAACAGGGAATTAGGTGGATTTAATTCATGAAAATATGAAATTACTCCAATAAATTTAAAAATAATGAGGAGACTCTAGGGCTGGTGGTCATCATTCGTCTTCCACTAGCCTATTTCGAATTTCGTTACTAAAAACCTAATGAACTTGTTATAAACGAGATATCAGCATCCGAGGAGAAACATGGATGGACTAAGAGTCAAATGAATTGAAATTTTCGGTGTAATTAAAGACTACTGAACTTCATCAGTAACGAGAACGAACCAAATGGATAATTCTAGCAAGAAACAGACTAAGCTCTATGAGCACACACTATTGATGCTACCTTAACACTTTAGCGAGAGCAATGGCATTAAGGAACTTTGGCGATTCCAACTATCAGAAGGGAAACTTTGGTTCGAAAGTCTGTGGCACTAGTTACACAAAAGTGAGCATACTCATAGAGCAAACTTCAGCTGTTCACATTCGTCGCGTCAACAATGATGCAAGTCTGTCACTTATCGGCACGGTGCAGTGTCAAACTTCACCAACCGGACAACGGCGAACGGAATGCTGACTCGGTAGTGTAAGCTGTCCTCTCATATCGAGGCCAGTCTCGTAATTTTGATTGTTAGTACGATCACACGAAAGTCACTACAGAGCAAGGCAGGACAAGCTCACGAAACGGGACACGAACAGACATGGGTGAGTAGGTCAGCTGCGTTCTTTAGCCATCCTATGGTTTTATAGTCCTAAATTCGTGTAACTTTGTGCAGTGAATTGAAGGACTCGTGAATTCGACGGCTGCTGGTGAGTTTTCTGTGAGGGAAACTAAAGCGTACATCAAGGTGAGAGTCAATGAGCTAGCCGATTTACTTGAAATTCCACAATGGATGTTATTATTTTGGAATCAGCTGATACATGGAGTTAAGGCAGATGCTGTAAACCATACATTTCCTGATGCTGTGTTTACCACCTAATGGGGTTGTTCGTAGGAAATGAGAAACTAAGTCACCGTAAAATAGTTGGGTATGTCTTGGTTCGGTGGCTTATTTGCGTCTAAAGTGCTCACCTCGCCCTTCTATAATTCCACGGTAAAGAACAAGAAACCAGAGGTTATCTTACGCTCTAGGATTGCATTTCCCTGTGATTTCATCTTCTTTACTGTTGTGATCAATTTTACCTATTTTATCTGAGCTGAGGAGCAAGAAGTTGGAGAAGTGCCTTTAACTGAGACCATTGTTTTATGACACCATGAGATTATTATTGCAGCAGACCAAAAGAAAATCGAGTGGCATCTGCGAAGGGTCTATCCTTGTTGAAAACCGTTTTGTAATTTGAGTAGATGAGTAGATGATGAGATGACTGACAGGTCTCTCATCAGTAAAGTTTAGCACTTCAGCGGTAAAGTTCAATATCACCAGGTCCTCACCTGGAGTTGCACCAGATCATCCCACCATGTACTGTGGTTTCTGAAAACAATCATCGTTTTGCGTCAAACCTGTACGCTTGAGTTGTGGATATCAAACTTTAGGTCCTTTCAGCTGTTTTATCCACACTTTTATCATAACCATAGCGGTAGCCACAGCCGCTCGATAGAGCCCTCACTGAAAAAAGCTCTACACGACAAGAATTTCTGTGTGTGCTGCGGAGTTAAGAAGTAGAATGAGGCAGAGGTTAGGTATTGTTTGCCGAAATGAACTATTTACCCCAAGTGACAATGAAGTTCAATGAAGGTTGTTTTGATATACTCATCAATGGACAATCTTGCAAAACCAACTAGCAATACGGCTACGCAAACCACAGATTCCTCGCATAAGCCGGCTTAATTGAGAATCGGTCTAATCGGAGAATCCCACCAATTTGGGGATGATACATATAAATCACACCTTTTGAGAGAAAACAGCTCCTGGAAGGAAGCAGTTTGTTTTCCTTGAGGGGTTATCCCCATGGATTTTCTGGGATTCCTCTGGATTAATCATAAGCAGCTGGTTTACAAACTCAACCTTTAAATCAGCCAATCTTTTACTCCAAAATTGTTAATGATTTTTCATGCTCATATTTGAAAACTACTTTCCTGTAATGAGTAGAAGCCACTAAGGGTGTGCTCAATTCTCGTCTTTTCTTATTTTCCCACAGGAATGAACATCTTTGTTGCATTCTTTCTGCTGCTACTCCTGCTGGCGGATTCAACTCCACAAGCTTCAACCAGTGTGCCATATATCGGTAATTCATTGTCTCTGTTCCTGTTTTTGTGCTTAGCATCATTTGGGCAGTTTATGTCCATAGAAGTTTTCATTACAGTGCTCCCCTCTTAGTTAATCTTCCTAGCACCTCATCAAAAATATTGTTTTGGCTGTAAACATGAATGTTCATCCAGGACACCTTAGAGGACAGCGCACACTGCAAGGTCGAGCCGTCGCTCTAACGAGCAACGGTGTAGAACAAAACCTCATAACTTTGCAGTTTGTGTGTGTATCACTGTCCCATATCCTGTATCAGTCCTGTTTTAGTTGAAAATGATCTGAATATTGATGTCAGAGTCACCGTCCCAAATCTGATTATTCCAACCGCATTGATCGCAGCTTATAAGCTAATGCGAGTAATACACACCTTACCGACTGATCACTGTTATCTTTGATTTATGCTGGATCCCTTTCGTTTCTCTTGATGAGAAATCCGATAAAAATACTCGGTGCTTTTATTGTCAGCGAATCTTGTTTGTCAGTTGTGAAGCACACGTGATAAAATATACAGCCGTTTATGCTTGTGAATTTAAGATTGATGAGTTGCTGCTCCTGAACACCGTCCGACTTTGGTTTTCGTGGTTAATCAGTTGGAAATATTCCGAAACTCTTCTAATGACAGCCAAGCTGATTTGGTCACGTGATCTTACTGTAACTCGGTTGGTTGAACGAACATAGCGGATGGGTAGGCATAGAATAATGGTAATGAATTGATTGATTGTCCACATGCAAATGATTCGGTGCTGCGGAAGATAATTAGATCAGCTTTATAAAGACAATAGGATTAAATTGTACATAGTTCTGTGCTAAATTCGGTTTTATTACCTGAACACTACTCATGGTCTGTGTGCTGTGCACTCCACGTTTGGCTGACTCTATTTGGTTTTAGGTTCCCAGCCTTACTGAGGATCTAAAACGCATGAGCTCAGACGGTAATATTTCCACACATGGTCGAAGTTAACTGTCAGTATACATGATTTTGTTCAGGGAAAAAACAAACGGCAATTACCCATAGGAGCTCCATTGTCACCAAAGTCAGGCGAAAAACGATAGAAGGTTCACCTGAACCTGAAGATACACGTAAGTGGATTTGTTAGTGGGAGACCACGGAGACGTCCTAGAATTATGTGATACATCGTCCCTCGGTGAGCTCTCAGTCGTTCTCACATAGTGAACGGTACGCACTTGACACGGGTTCTGTCGTTCCTCTTTTGGATGGATGACACCAAAAGGTTGATGCAACTAGGGCCATCCGCAGAAACCACGAACCACTTCACTAGCTAACCATGTGATAATAGAGACCTCACTGTCTGGAAAGGAATACACACCACACTTTTACAGAACCTGATTTTCTATCACCATCGTTAATCAGCGACTCAACTCATGCTAGGAGACATGGGCCGCGCACCAGTGCACTCGTACAATCGCAACCTATTCTCAGCACAGACTGCAGCAGCTTACCTTAAATCGGGCATCTTATTTCCAACGAAATGATTTACTGATTTTGTTGCCATACCAACTTAAATAAAGCAGGTTTTCTTGCAGCTGACTTAACCTGTGTTTGTTCCGTAAACAATGCATTCTTCTGGTTGACTTCACAGAAACAAATAAGGCCTATCTAATTAAATTTACTGATTTAGAAGGATCTCCTCTTCTAGCTAGTTTCCAAGTTTAAACACAAGTGAAGTACCACCAAGTTAAACCAGTTCAACGTTAAATCCATTCCGCAAATTTTGAACGGCTAAAATTTCGATGAACACGACGCAGTAAACAGAGAAGAACATGCAACATTTGCAGGATACAAAAAGATGATATGATGCATCCCTATTTTCGGATTGGATGGGCTTACGTTTAATAAACAGGCTGGCCAAAAATTGATCAACAGCATAATACAGATGTGTTAGCGGTACACGTGTGTTTTGATTGAAATATTCCTAAATTCCTACTTTGTATCGGATAACAGCTTGGTGTTCAGCAGGTCAAAAAGTTTGAGAAATTAACACAAAAATGCGGACGAGGCACTGAATAGGAAATTTTCAATGGGTTCATTTGGAAGTGGAAAAAAACATGATGCGAAAAGAACTGAAGGACAAGGTATCTCATGTACTACTCAAAAGGTTGGTGAAAATGTTTCCACAGTCCACGACCCGTTTGGTCTTTGTTTTGGCTCATCAGGTTGGGGTAGTCCCCTATTTTCCATCAACCTTATGTTTTACTTGAACCAGAATCTCACGAAACTGGCAAAATACAAATAATTAAAACAACACAAACGGGAGATCCAGTTGGGTTCTAGGAGTATTTTGCCGTCAGGGTATCTAAGTTTCTCAAAGACAAACTGAATATATTCTCACTCTCTAGTAAGTCTGAGGGGAAATGAATTTGGTGGCGATTAATGAACGAAAGATTACCGGGGACGTTCAGTCGCTTCACCGTAAACAAAACGAGTTTGGGAGAACGTAACCAGGTGGCTATGTAATTAAAGTTACTTCGAATGTGGCGGAAAGTCTGAGGGCAACCAACATCCATATGTCAGAGAATGTAGTAGTGGGTGGTATGCACAGAATGAATCATATCAAAAAAGAATACACCCTGAAACACACCAGCGTCTATGAATGATGAAGAGGACTCTGAACTATTACAAACCGCCAACTGCATATGACTCCAGAATTACTCCGGAAATGTCAGCCAGTTGTCGCCAGCTGAATTAGTCGCGTGATCTGCCGATTAGGAACTTCAGCAGCGAGTTGGCTGTGTAGGATCCCTCAAATTAGTTTTTACTGGGAATTTGTGAGATGTATATTTAGCGCATTCATTATGTCGTCCTGAGACACAAAAGCATCCACGATTCGGACCACAGTGTTCGTTCCAATCATCATTTCTCACAGAACGAAAGAACATGAGAAATACAGTTATTTACAATCTATTGGACAAACGCCTGATATCTTGAAACTCTGAATGGAGTACGTAACTCAGTCAAGACTAGTCCATAAGTAAGAAAAAAGACATCATATCGGGACAACATACATTGTTAAATAGGGATCAGCAAGCGTTCTTCTGTGGGTATCGTTGGATGACAACAAGTTGACTGCGCAGATGAAGAGAAGAAAACTGGGAGTGGCAATTGGTTTGGTTGCCAACCTTTCGCCGTAAAACTGATTGCGCTCAGACATCCTGCGTTGGTTTTGATAAAGCTTGCCGAATACTCCACTGGGTTTTCTCGGCTATCTTGTTAAGCAATCTAGTTTGATAACAAAGAAGTATTAAATAAGGGAGTGGAAATTTTCATAGATGGTTTTGGTCAAAAAGTCAACAAAACAGAGTTTGGTCTGATGCGTTAGTTCGCGTGTGAACTTGGACAGCTGACTTATGGCCATAATAAAAAAACAAGGGAGGTTAATTGCCAGTTGATTGTTAGTGATCTGAACCCACACGAAGGTCCACAAAGTTGCACAAATTCTATCACAAATAGATGTCTGCGTCCCCACAAAACTCGTACCGTTCTGCAGATATCATATCAATAGCTGATTGCGTGAACATCCCAGTCTGTGCCCATTTATCACCCCCCCTTACACCGCTGGAATACCATTAGGCTTCACGTTTATTGATCAAACGCTGAAAGAGGACAGTGAAGGAATAGGTGTGTGTTTAATATTGAGTCACCTCGTCGTGACATGCCGCTTTCTGCGGCGTTTGTTCTCGATTCCACGATGTGTAAGGTTGAGTCTTTTGAAAAGATACCTCACTACGTGCCCAGAAGCCAGCACACGTGCGTCTGACTTCGTAATGCAAATGTAGAAACCGTTGTAGGGTAACCGCTGATCTTGAAAACTGTCAGTTCTGATCAAATATTTGGCACGATGTGGAGGAAGATTGTGAATCACTTCAGAAATGCATCAAAAGGACGACCACCAGGTAGTTTTGATGTTTACTTTATATTAATTTGTCATCACTTCATAATAAGCAGATTCGACACACAAGAAAACAACAACGTAGGTGATTCCATAACAAATGCTTAAACTTCCAATTTATTAGGCTATCGATTCGTTGATCCTCAATTCAGTACTTTATCAATTAGTGTGTGTTTATTTAATCGAGCCATCATTTCATTGGGTAATTCTAAGTTTATGTGGTATAGCCCATTTGGAACTCGCACAAATTCACGAAAAGCAGACGCATCAAAAGACCATTATTGTGGTGGTTTCACCATTTGATCAAACTCTGTTTACAGTACTGTACCTTACTTGCGGTCGTATGCAAACCGAAATAGGAAGTCTATCTGGCACTATGTCAGAGATTTGATAAGGCATGATTTATTCGAAATATTTCACTACTCACCCCTCAGAAATATTTACACTTAAACCCATCACTGGTACTTGCATGTAGGTTAGTTGCACGCTTATGCTATGGTTCGGGAAAGTAGCTGCTTAGAAAGCTGAATACGTTTCTCCATTAACGAACTGCCCAAAAACATCGACGTATGGCAGAAGCTAGTGAGATAATCGGAATTCACCGCTGTTTAATGACTGAAGGTTGCCAGGTTTCACTATGGATGGACTTTTCCATATTGTCTGGCATTGTCCAAGTTCATGCGACCTTACAATGTAACTGAACTTAACTTGACAGAAAAATCATTCGTTCAAATAATCAATGTTTATGTCCAGCCCATGGTTTGATGACTTGGAGCCAACATATTTGACCGAATGAGCAGCCTAAGCAGATACCAAACATTACTGAATCGATCATTGGGGTCACCTAGTGCTACGCCCTAAAGACCAGATATAATATTGCGCATCGACAAAGTAAAAGTTGACCTTTAGGAAAGGTGTCATCCGGGGTACGCAACCGGAAATCGGTTTGGAAGGTTCTTCTGGACAGTCAGCCTATTTTCATGTTTGCATTAGAGTTGACCGGTCTGTGTAGCATTCTGGCGAACCACCAGTTAGCCTGGAAATCTGCCAAGGCGAAACTAAAACGTTGGTGTCCCACGGTCGTCTTCCAAAGGATAGCTGGGCTGGTAAACTAGGATAGTTTCATGAATACAGTATTACGGGGCACGCTTCGACCTTTTCGAA